AAGAGTTGACACAGTTGCTCTGTGGAAAGTGTGGTCCTGCTGCTCAGAGTGGTGTCTGATTTTAATCTTAAACTGACCACCTCTACTGCATCATCAACAGGAATGCACGTAAAGAGTGATGTGACATCAAAAGAGACCATTGTTTCATCAGTCTCCATGATGACATCCCTCACCTTGTCCACAAAGTCCATGGTGTTGTGTATGTGGTGTTCTGAGCTGCCAACTAAAGGGATGAATACAGATGACAGATATTTGGAAACATTGTAAGTGACAGAGTTAATCATGCTAACAATAGGTCTTAAAGGTACACCTTGTTTGTGGATTTTAGGTAAACCATACAGACTAAGTGTGGCCTCCCCTGGGTACAGTCTGTGGTACAGAATACGGTCAATAGCCTTGTCCTGCTCAAAATTTTTCAGGCAATCTATTAACTTCTTCTTGTAACCACTTCCTGGATCTCTTTTCAGAGGTTCATAAGTGTTTAAGTCACTAAGGAGTGTCATAACTTTCTCATGATAGTCTTTCTGGTTCAAAATCACTGTGCACCTTCCTTTGTCTGCTGGGAGAATGATGATGTTTTTGTCCTTGCTAAGAGTGGTGAGTGCATCCCTCTCCTCTCTACTGATGTTGGAAGGTGGTGGTTTGGCATTGCTGAGGCAGGATGAAACTTTGATTCTGAGCTGTTCTGCTTCACCCTCTTTCATTGTGTTGTTGCGGATGGCTGATTCTGTGGCTGTGATCATCTCCACCAGAGGAATTGTACTTGGTGCAACCGCAAAGTTCAGTCCCCTGGCAAGAATCTCTGTCTCTGGCTGGGTGAGCTATCTGTCAGATAAATTCTTCACCCACTTTTCTGTCTCCCTGGCATGTAATTGACTACTGGAGTGTTGTCCTACACTGAATGTGTTGTTATTGGAATAGTGATGGTGTTGATGAGTTATTAGCGAGTTAAACTTATTTTGTTGTCGAGTCTTGGACTTGACATGCTGTGCTAAGCGTGCCTGATCTGTACAGTCCAACACTTGCTGAAGTGTGGTCTGATCTAGACACATAGTTAGTTTCTGTTTAATGTGCTCTTCTTTGGCCTTCAAGGCCTCAATAGTAAAATTGGTCTGTCTCACCCGTTCATTCAGCAGCTGGGTTTCAGCTGGTTTTCTGGGTTCATTCAGCAGCATGGTTAAAGTTATTAATGCTTTTTACAAATTTTGGGAACTGGAGGTGTTGAAGATATCAATGAAATTAGGAGAATATCAAGACTTTTTTTTTTACCCAGTTTTAGAAAATGGTTATTAAAATAAAACTTTTAAGGAGGTTGCCCACTGATTCAGAGCTGCTACCAGAGTCAAAGTCTCTTTATTTGTGACATCGTGTACACAGGGTCCCAGTTACATCCAACAAAAGTATTAAAATGTAAAAGAAAAACAGTAATAAGATCTAAGATATGAACTAAGAAAAACGTTAACTAAAAATATGCTAAGCACTAGTAGCATAAAAAAACGATACGCCCAACAGCAGCACCAACATGAGTCTGTGTGAGTAGATGATAACAAATGAACACAGCAACATGAAATAAATCGGCAGCATGATGTAATTTTTCACAGTGGTTATGCTGGTTAGATATTCATGAGTCTAACAGACTCAGGGTAGAAGCTGTTCCTCAGTCTAGTGTTCTACACAATGCTCTCAACCTCCTGTCTGAGGGGAGCGGGGGAAAAGTGTGTGTGCTGGGTGAGTGGGGTCCTTCATGATGCATGTGGCCCTCTTCCTGCATCTGGAGGTAAATATCTGTGATGGTGGGGAGGCTGACTCCAACAGTCTTCTGTGCAGCCTTCACCACTCTCTGCAAAGCTTTTCTTTCTGCAGCTGTGCAGCCTCCATGCCACACGTTGATGCTGGAGCACAGGATGCTCTCCACTGCACACCTGTAGAAGGAGGTGAGGACTGAGCTTCCCAGACCAGCTCGGCTCAGCCGCCTGATGAAGTAGAGTCTCTGATGAGCTTTCTTGATCACGCTGGTGGTGTTTCCCCAAATGAGGTGATCATTCAGGTGCATACTCAAATACTTGTAGCTGGAGACCACTTCCACTGCAGATCCTCCTATTCATCTTCTTCACATTGATGTGAAGGTTATTCTATTATATTCTAATATTGTACATTTTCCTCTTTCAGCAATTGGTATTTTAAAACCTTATCATGTTTATGCTTCTTAACATTACCGTTATGAAGGATTGCTACATTTACTACCTTATTTATTTTTAGTTAACCAACGCTTGCTCACTCTGGAAAACCCTGCAGAAGGGAGCAATCTAAACTTGACACAGACTATTCTTTTTTAGCTGTTTTCTCATGGGGTTTCATGCACTCTACTTTCTTGTAGGGCATGCCTAAAATGTGGGAATGAAGACATATTGACCCCTGACCTGTCGTCAGATAGTTCTCCCTTACCACAGTATCTTTATACATCAATATTCTCTTATCATCATTCTGCTTATAAACACTTGAACACAGCGTAAAGTTATTTCCCCATTAGTTTAGATGAGTTCCAAAGTATCCACAAACTACACATTATTCATACAGTATGTACACATTTTTTCACTGGGGTTACTTTTTGTCTCAATTTATTTATTTATTTAGTTTCTTTAGCCCATGAATGTTTAGCCCCAGTCTCCCAATATGAAATGATCAAATAATTAGCAACAAACTCTTAAACAGACATGCCTTGTTTCTACAGGGAGACCATTAAATTCACTTCTTTATTGGTAACAGTAATTAATGACCCAAATGCAACATAGAGATCTTTGACTTTTGCTTTAACTTCCCATCAAATTAAGTTCTACTTTGCATTTGTTTTCACAGGACAGTAGAAGTGTAATTTAAATTTGTAAAAATATAAACAGACCATCCTTTCTTCTACATAAAAAAAAAACCTGTAATCAGTCCAGTATAAGAACTATCTTAATGATGGCTCACACCTGAACTGTAATTGCTTTACAGAGATCTTTCACTCTTAAAAGAGAATGCCCTCATTTATAAAATAAAATAAAAAAACCCTCAGCCTGGATAATTATCAAACAAATATAAACACCTTTAGAAATTTAGATGCGAGGACCTGCTTGCCTGTTAAGTTGATAGTCATGTGACCTGACCAGTGCCCTAGTTGAACACCTCTTAGATGTTTATGCATATATGGACGCTAATCTCAGTTAGGACTATGGGATTTGGGAATATTTTGTTTAACGGAGATCAAAGTAGCCGACTCAGATAAGAAAAAAAACCCTCCACACAGATCAAACAGAGCAATGCATCCTGAATCCCACGCCCTTAGTAGCCAATCAAGCCATGCATAACTTTTTCTATTTAAAAAAAAAAAAATTCTTGTTTTGCATCTGCCTCCATCAACATCTCAAGCACACTCTCCCCCCACCAAGACGGCAATGTTTTGGATCATGAACTATATCAAAAAAAGCAGCAACACCAAATCTGAATGTCTCTCAGTCTTGGCTAACATGATGCCGGCGTTCAGGAACACAGGGCTACTGTGTTAAGAGATCAAAGAAGCAGTGCAGAGATTTAGACTCACTGTGTGTCAGTCAAGATGGTGAGACAAAGCAGATGGAGACAGAAATGCTTACACACACACTACTGCGCTGGCTTTTCTGTGGTGTGCCTGTGAGGGGTGAGGCGTTCCTGTCAGATGGCTCAGGGGCTACTCATTTGTAGATGCATAGTGTTCACGTGAACCTTGCAACAAAATGCGGGGCAAACCTACACATACTGTACACACAAGCATGTGTGATAAGAGAGCACCCTAAGCTTATATACTGCCTTGTAAAAGTTTTGTACTCAGCATTTTCCCTTGTCTAGAAGATGAAGTTATTTTACAGACGGTGGAGAAACAAAACAATGCTGCCTGGTTGGACGTGTGATTGAGCGGCCTCCATGCTTGTGCATCAAAGATGGGCTGTTTTTTTTTTGTCAAGTTTGCAGTATCTCTCACATGTTTTTTGTGTATCAAATTTTGACATTAAGAGAGCAAGGATTTCAGATCAGCAGGACATCCTGCTGTTAGAACGACCTTTGCTCATTTCTTCTTTGTTGTGAAGTATGCTGTTGGCTGTGAATGCAAACCCCACTCCATTGTTTTTGTATTGTATTGTGCAGTGTTTACAAGTCTGTCCTGTTGATCTTTTCACCTAGTTTGACAGGAAAGATCATTTCCTTCATAAAACTTTGAAAAGAATGCACCCATGCTTATAAAAATTAAATAAATAAAAAATTACATTAAACCAAGACATATAAATGATATTTAACAATGGGATTTTAAATGTTCCTGATCAAACTGTTTAATTTGTTTATTCATTAGGACAACTTAAAATTGCACATTTCCTCACATCAAATGAAGATCTGTACCCTAGATTAAATATAGAAACACACCATCACCTTGTGGCCACAACTGGTAACAATTTATTTTAGTAAACTACATTCTTGACAGTTACTGTATATCAATAAAGAAAATGACAAAATATATTTTAATTTGTGGGAACAAAAAAAAAAAAAAAAAAAAGTAAAATTAAGCAAGACACCAAATCATGCATATCTGAAAATGACAAAAGTGTGCACACAAAAAGTGCAATTGGTCAAAAAATAAAATCTTATTCTTGTATGGATGCAGGAAGTCGTCATTAACTTGGACTAATCCATCTCACACCCTTACACAGATCACATAAGTGCGCATAAATCGTACATGAAATGGATTCAGTACAGAGGAGAAAACAATATTGTGCTTAGAAAGATAGATTGGGGTACCTCTTCAAAAACTCCTCAATAGAAAGCCCAAGTACAAAATGAAACACATGAGGGCACATGAGTCAGAGGAAGTACAGAAAACACAAGTGCCAAGTCCCAAATTTAGGTGATATGACTTTCCAACTTCTGCGATGGACTTGCAACCTGTCCAAGGTGTACCCCGCCCCTCGCACAGTGATTGATGGACATGGGCACCAGCGACTCCCGTGATCCAAAATGGAAGAAGCGGGTAAAGATAATGGATGGATGGACTTTCCATCTTCAATTAGTACAGTTCTCAGAAACCTAAAAAAAAGAAAGGGAAAAAAAAAAAAAAGAATTTCAGGATCAGAATAACTTTATTATCACTGTACCGAGATACGACGAGTGTATGTCCATACAGTTGTCCAAAAGATGGGCATAGTGCACGTGTGCACAAATGAATGAAAAGACAAGTTATAAAGTAGTTTACCACCATGCATAGGCTAAGAATGTACCCGTAATTCAATTGCATACAACAAACAACCCAGTTGTATGCAAATATTTTCATAATTTTTACTTTGCAGTGTCTCCTTTAAAACCATGAATATAGAATATTATGAAAATATTTTGTTGACTTTATTATTGCTTACTTTCAAATCATGAAAAGCTGTTAATAGATCACCTACAATTGAGCAAATACACCTGGATTATCACTTGTTAAATTGACTTTAAAATATGTTAATGATCTTATTCTCAAGGTAATTAATAAAATGTTATGTTTTAGCAATATGGGAGATAGCAAACCAGAGATACTCACATCCTTCCTGCATTTTTTTCTTTTTAACTAAATGCTCGTATATTTTTTTAATACTTAGATAAATGATGGCTTTAATGAAGACAAACCAGAGAACCTAACATGCCACTTTGAGCTGCATTTATTGGCAATATCACTTCCCTTGTACTTTAGATACAACATGTATTGAATATGTACGTTATTTTATTTATCATCACTGGTGTTTTGTTAGGGTCAGCTTGGTTTAGTACCTTGAGAGTCTCAGAAGCTTTACGTAGCTCTTTGATAACTGCAGAAAGGGCTTCAGGGTTGATGCCTTGCTCACACAGCCTCACACAGATGGACAGAGACTCCATGTCCAAACCAGTGTTCAGCAACCTTGAGATCTCCAGCAGAACTGTTAAAACAAACGATGTGTGATAAGCTAAATGTTAGCAGCACATCTTAATGTTTAGTTTCTTTTCACACTTTATCGCTATTGGTGGATGTAACTAACTGGGATCCTGTATACACAATTTCGTTCCACCTCATGTACCACATGTGATGCGAATGACGATAAAGAACCTTGACCTAATGAAAAAGCCTGAAAGTATTTTACGAATTATCCGCTTGGTATTTAAATAAATAAATAAATAAATAAATACAACTTACCATCCATTGTTTCCCGTACTGCGTTTAAATTAGCATTTGCTGCACTGGCCATAATGATAAATTAATAATTAGCTTTGAACGGCTAACCAATTTAGGGTTTTTATCGCAACAAATAAAAATAATAACTCGGAGATGATAAATTCTAGCAAAATATTGGCTCGACTTTACATAATTGTTAATTATTTTACACAGAATATCATATAATCTAAGAACGAAAAATAACTAACGTCAACATTAGCAGCTAGCTAGCAACCAAGTATGAGCGAGGCTGTCAAAGGAAGTGACGACACAAAAATCTCCATTGGCTCGCTATCACTTCCTCTCACTTCTTATTGGCTGATCTGCCTTGTGGGCAAAATTGAAATGAACGTTTGGATTGTTGCTGCTGTGCTGAGTCTTCACTAAATTTGTTGTGTGGTTTCTGTCGTCGAAGTCTGACTTTTTAACAGTTGTGAGTACAAACAAAAAATCTTTTTTTTTATGTTTATATATTGTTTAGGCAACATGTTAAATGTGTAAATGCATTGCGGAACGTTTTGAAGCCGAATTTCTTCCCAACGTGCGATACTTAATTATCACCTCACAACAAACAGAATCTGTAGAAGTGGTGGATTATGTCTCGTTAGTTTTGTGATTGAAATGTGCTTTTCTTTTATCCTGATGGAAGTATTTGATGTTTTCAACTAAGATGGGGGATCATAATCCTACTGAGCCACAGTTCGCTCCAGAAACTCCGGGCAGGCCTTCAATTAGAAACCCATTTGAGAGCCCCAATGACCACCACCATCTGCGGGAACCCCTGGTTCCGAGTCCTTCTGTCTTCAAATCAAAGCCTTGCAAGACTGTAAGTTAAAAATACATCTTCTATCCTTTAGACCCATCACATCTTGTGCAAATCTTTTAAACCATGACCACCAGCTAGACTGGATTGTGATCTAAAGTGTCTATTTCTAATAGTTCTACAGTACTAAGTTACAATCTGATCTCACAGTAAACACAAACTTGTTCATTACATAAAGTTATGGAGGAAGGGAACTTTCAGCATGTGCCATATTTTTGGCACTAGTGGAAGTTACCTCATATTATTCTAAAGTGTGTTGCTCCCTCAGAGCAAATAATAAAATAAAAAGTGGACTAACTAACATTAAGACTTGTGCTCAGATTTGAACATTTATCTGTGGCTAAATGCTGTGTTGACTTTTACTTGACTGTATGGTATTTACGTTTTATGCATGTCATCTGTGTCTTTCCCAGACTCCTCCTGAGTTTAACTGGTCCATTGATGAAATGGCCAGTCTTTTACCAGTACACATAGACCCTGAGGAAATCCAGCGACAATCTTTTTATCTCAGCCAGACAAAGTATGTGCTGAGAAACAAAAATATATTCTGTGAAAATGTGAAACTACTTGAAGGAAAGTTGATTGACATAACTAATTAAATCTCAAATCCACTGTGCAAACTTGAGATTTTTGAGAATATCCATCCAAGTAGGACTTTGTTTTGCTTTATTTCAGGAGGGATTCTGACGTTGAAGAAAAATGTCAAAATGCCATTGAGCAGGTATCCAAATCTATTTGTTATATAATCTTTGATACAATCTTATATTTATTTCCTGCTTGATGTTGTAATATGCATCTTTCCCAATAAAGTTTTTCACCAAAGGAGCCATTGTGCCTTCCCCCTGGGCTGCACCAGAAAGCCGTAGAGTCCCTCACCCATACAAAAAAAGTAAGTTATCTTATTGTTCAAGTTATGTTTTAGCCTTTATGATTTGTAAATGGTGATTCTGTACATTTTAAACCTTCCCAGTTTCTCATATATTTGTCCTTTCCTTGAAGGCCCGATGTCTGCAATAATTTCAGAGGAGACTGAAAAAAATTCAGGTTTGCATGCCTTTTAGATTTTTAAAAAATATATATTTGCTTTGTTTCTCTTAAAACATGTACAGGTCCTTCTCAAAAAAAAATAGCATATTGTGATAAAGGTCATTATTTTCCATAATGTAATGATAAAAATGAAACTTTCATATATTTCAGATTCATTGCACACCAACTGAAATATTTCAAGTCTTTAATTGTTTTAATACTGATGATTATGGCATACAGCTCATGAAAACCCAAAATGCCTGTCCCAAAAAATTAGCATATCATGAAAAGGTTCTCTAAACAAGCTATTAACCTAACCATCTGAATCAACGACGTAACTCTAAACACCTGCAAAAGATTCCTGAGGCTTTTAAAAACTCCCAGCCTTGTTCATTACTCAAAACCGCAATCATGGGTAAGACTGCCGACCTGACTGCTGTCCAGAAGGCCATCATTGACACCCTCAAGCAAGAGGGTAAGACACAGAAAGAAATTGCTGAACGAATAGGCTGTTCCCAGAGTGCTGTATCAAGGCACCTCAGTGGGAAGTCTGTAGGAAGGGAAAAGTGTGGCAGAAAACGCTGCACAACGAGAAGAGGTGACCGGACCCTGAGGAGGATTGTGGAGAAGGGCCGATTCCAGACCTTGGGGGACCTGCGGAAGCAGTGGACTGAGTCTGGAGTAGAAACATCCAGAGCCACCGTGCACAGGCGTGTGCAGGAAATGGGCTACAGGTGCCGCATTCCCCAGGTCAAGCCACTTTTGAACCAGAAACAGCGGCAGAAGCGCCTGACCTGGGCTACAGAGAAGCAGCACTGGACTGTTGCTCAGTGGTCCAAAGTACTTTTTTTGGATGAAAGCAAATTTTGCATGTCATTCAGAAATCAAGGTGCCAGAGTCTGGAGGAAGACTGGGGAGAAGGAAATGCCAGAAGTCCAGTGTGAAGCACCCACAGTCAGTGATGGTCTGGGGTGCCATGTCAGCTGCTGGTGTTGGTCCACTGTGTTTTATCAAGCGCAGGGTCAATGCAGCTAGCTATCAGGAGATTTTGGAGCACTTCATGCTTCCATCTGCTGAAAAGCTTTATGGAGATGAAGATTTCATTTTTCAGCACGACCTGGCACCTGCTCACAGTGCCAAAACCACTGGTAAATGGTTTACTGACCATGGTATTACTGTGCTCAATTGGCCTGCCAACTCTCCTGACCTGAACCCCATAGAGAACCTGTGGGATATTGTGAAGAGAAAGTTGAGAGACACAAGACCCAACACTCTGGATGAGCTTAAGGCCGCTATCGAAGCATCCTGGGCCTCCATAACACCTCAGCAGTGCCACAGGCTGATTGCCTCCATGCCACGCCGCAGTGAAGCAGTCATTCATGCAAAAGGATTCCCAACCAAGTATTGAGTGCATAACTGAACATGATTATTTGAAGGTTGGCGTTTTTTGTATTAAAAACACTTGTCTTTCATTGGTGGGATGAAATATGCTAATTTTTTGGGACAGGCATTTTGGGTTTTCATGAGCTGTATGCCATAATCATCAGTATTAAAACAATTAAAGACCTGAAATATTTCAGTTTGTGTGCAATGAATCTGAAATATATGAAAGTTTCATTTTTATCATTACATTATGGAAAATAATGACCTTTATCACAATATGCTAATTTTTTGAGAAGGACCTGTAGATGACTGTCTTATTATTATTATTATCGAGTCAAACTTGTGTACTTGAATGATGATAATTCTGGGGCTTTACTTTAGTGCTTGCAATTTAGCTGTCTCTGAGTTGTAGTGGTACAGGGGACAAAACTTGTATCAACGCTACTGTTTTCCTCATTTGCAAATTGTAGATCTACAACTAAATGTTAGCATAAGAAAGATGAATTCAAGGGTTAGACATTTTTTCCTGTTATCAAGTCTTTTTAATACTTTAAAAGAAGAGGGGAAACAGGTTATCAAAATCAAGAAGGTGAGAAGTTCTTACAGTGCAGTTCTAAGATCCGTCTCCCTCATAAATGTTTATGTATATCTTAACTTGCATAACAAAATGGAATAGAATATACTTTATTGTCCCCTAAGGGAAATTTGTCATGGACTCAGAAGTGTATATAGCATAGTAGCAGCAGCTGCCCAAACAGTCACTAAATACACAAGTCATACAAATACAATTCATATAAACAGCTAAAAACCAAGATTACAAACACAACCGTAATAAACAACAACAGAGAACACCAAAGTTCTTGCACCTTAGCAAATGGCACAGAAATAAGGTCTCAACAGTTTAAATAAAAGATTAGAGACAACGATACTTATAATGTTAGGTTTTTGGTAGAGAGATGTACCAGTTACATAATTCAAAATCAAAACCACCTGTTTTTGTTTCACTTTTATACATTTACTAAATTGTTTAATTTGATTTACAGTTGCTTGCCAGGCGGTCCTTTCGCTACCTTTGGCTTTTGATTTAGAAAAATTACTAGGTAAGTGTCTGCTGACTACCAACAGAATCAAAGTATGAAATTTTCTTTTAACACTGGCTGAATAGTTTAAGCAATGAGTCACAAGGCTTTGTTATTTTCAGGAGAACATTACAGATGTGAGGAGCCATGTGATGCAGTGCAGGAGAGCTTAAGTTCCTCCTCCCTGAGACGAAAACTCTTTATTGATGGTCAGTTCAGTTACAGCGGCTCCGATAGCTCCAACCCACCGAGCCCAGAAAGAACTAATGCTGGGCTGAAAAGACCGTCTCCACACAGAGCTGGAACAAGAGCTGAACATCCTGAAGGGGAAGCTCCATTTACCTCTCCTTTGTCCTGTGGCTTGTCAGTCCCAACACCCTCTACGGTGAGTGGTAAAGTGAAATGAGAGAAAATAGACCCAAAAGAGCAATAATTAATTTAGTTTCTTTTAAATTTAGGGTCAGTTTTCATCCAGTCCTATCCAGCAAGGACGCATCAGAGACTGCAGCCTCGGCAGCATCAGCAGTCCTCCGGTTCCTGATAGGTCATCTCCAGCAGGCCACATCTCTCCGACTATTTCTCCAATTTTTCCCCATTTGGCGCACACTCCCATTGGCACAGGTAGACCATCTACTTTGCTTTTTTTTTCTAAAAAAAAAGTTTTATTGAGTTTGACTATTGTAACTTTTTAGGTGAATGGAAACCCATTTTGAACCCACATGGAACTTCGCTGGATATAGATGTTGCTCCCTCTAATGCGAGTCCATTTGTTGAAGGTTGTTCTCCCATTCGTAGCTGCTCCCCACACCAGTTCCACAACCAAAACGAGCCCCAGCACATCTCAAGACCCAAGCACAGACCTCGGGTTTGCGGCTGGGCTTCCCCTCCCCTCATCTCGCCAATCCTTAACCCAAAGCTGCAAGACAATCAGGAGGGTAAAGAGCACCCTCCTTCCACTTCATGGTCTCACCCTTATATGGAATTGGCTCCAACATCGCCTCAGACCCATCCTGTTGCCAAAGAGATCCTTCATCTGGATTCTATTGGAGCTGTGAAAATGGAGATGGGGATAGAAAAACGGCTGGATGAAGGCGGGGAGCCTTCAGAACAGCTGACCAGCTCTCGTATGGTAAATGTGTCGGCGATAGAAGGCTCTCAAATGATTGTCTCTCTTCTGGCAGAAGGAAGTAGCATCCGCTATGATTCCAGCATGCAGGTTTGTGATGGAAAATGGATTGGCAAAGCTACGTTTGGCATTGTCTTTAATATAAATGTGTTTCTGATTGAATATTTATTGTTTGTGTGCATTTAGGTGGATAGTGGTTATAACACTACCTCAGCTGGCACCGCTAGCCTGATTGATGGCCACAGCTCAGACTGTCAGACCAAAGAGTTTCTCAGTTCCAACCAGGTGGAATTCACTCGACACAGTAAAGTTAAAGTAAGATTAACCCTTAACACACAACTGCAGGGCAGTTTCTGAGTTTCATTGTTCTTTTGAACCAGCTAAATTAATTTCAGTCAGGTCTGTCTTGTAAATGAGTCCTTGAGGCTCAATGGGATTTACCTGTCTAAATAAAGGTTGAATGAATGAAAAATTTTATAGCATTTTGAAATTATTCACATTTTGAACCCAAGAACTCAGTTAATTTAAAGTTAAATTACCTTTTAAACTTGGCCCATCATGTTTTGGCAAGTAGGGTGAAGCAACAAGTCACATAAGAAGTTTTTGATTTAGTGAAACAATCTTTATAATTAAGATTTAAAATAGACTTCAAATCGGAACAAATTTCCCAAGACACGTTCAACAGCAAGTCAAGGAGCTAGTTTATCTAAAACATAACACAAAACAGCAATTTAAGAAATACTTGGTTTTCTAAAAAAAAAAAAAAAAAAACGTCCCTGAAACCTTAAAGTACTGGTTGGAAAATTAATTTAAAGTTTGAGGTCTTTCACTAATTTTTATTTTATTTTTTTCAGATGTTTTATCCTCACCATGGAGTGTCCTGATTTCTACAAGAAAATGAACAACTCTTCCAGTAGAAACTCATAATTTTGCATTAAAAAAATATGTTTACAGTGCTGGAAGAATTATAGTTTAATTTGTACTGAACAGCTGTAAGAGTTAGTTAAGATTGATCTGAGGGTAATGATACCTGACTGAAAATCTATGGCTATGTTTTGTGACGGGGACTTCTAACCCAGTTTTTAACTCTTCAAGAATTTTGTATTGAAATTTGCACATAAATCAACTTTCTAAGTGCTGTAAGTGCCAATGGCAACATTTTAGCTTTATTTTTGGTGCTAACATGATTGACCTGAAAGATCTTGATTTTTTTTTTTATTAAATCTATATTTATGTTTTGTAGAACTGTTAACAAGTATTTTTTTATTCAGGTTACCTGTGGATCTTGTTAAATAATGCCAGAAGTGAACTAAATGTTGAAAAGTTTTAATATTTTGCACAGAAGCTACTGTGTATAATTGTCACATTAAATTTTATTTTTTTTTACCTTGAAGAAACACTATTTTTAGTTGCTGCGCTAAACATTTTTGGTTCAGTTCACAATAATTTTGGTTATGTTTGGGGTTGTTTGTTCATTATTCTGGTAATTTCCTGTTCACTTGTAGAAGTAATTTAGCAAGAAAATGCATTTGAGGGAGCGGGAATAAAAAAAGCATATCCATGATGATAAAACAAAAAGATCTTTATGGTCTGTTTGACCAAGAAATGCTTCAAATCATACAATTATTTCATCAGGGATGCACTTGAGATGGGAACAGTGAACCTTTGTTGTGAGCTGGTTTGCATACCCGCTACAGTTAACTGTTTGGATACATTAAAATCTGGTAAATTATGGTTCTGCTTCCAGTCAGCGGTCCAGTTTCTGTATCTTGGCTTGTGGTTCAGCCACAGGAGCAGGAACACTAATGCCAGGGATCTTAAAAAGACAAAAAAAAAAAAAGGTTTTGGTTTGAGCAAATGCTATGAATTGTCCCAACAGGACTCACAAAACTATGAAAATGTACCCAAATTAAAGCCCAATACTGTACATTTTAATAAAAGAACAAATGGAAGAACATATTCTTGTATGAGTTTGTTCTTACCACAGGTTCTGTTAGAGCCATGCGGATCTTCTGGTGCTGAATGTTGGAGGAATCTAGACTCACGGTGACCTTCACCTTATCAAACATGTGGAATGTGTGCTGCTCCACCTTTAGAGTTGGACCCTAACCATTACACAAGATCAATTTTAAACAATAATTTATGTACAAATAAAACCACTGCTTTTGACAGAAATGATTAATTTGTTCATACCTCTTCATCAAAAACAAGGTTGGGGGAAACTTTGTCTTTAGCATCAAAGAAGACCGTTCCCTCCAGACCAAACTTTGGGATGAGAACAATGATTGCATTCTTTCTCACAAACAGAACAAATCCTTCTTCGTTCAGTATTCCTCGAGTCTTGAAGAACAACTAGAGGACAGTAGATTGTGGTTAGGACAGTAAAATGTGTTTGCACTTATTGGCTGAAAACTGCATAATCTTTTAAAGCAAATGCTTCTTGTGCCTAAAGTTTTCCTGATGTATACATAAACAGTCATGTAGGTATATGTCTGTGTTTACCTGTGTGTGGAAAGCCACAGATGCTCTCTGTGCATACTGAGCCATTTTGTGTCTGTAGTTGATGTTGAGGCAGAGGGCTGACTGTTTATGCTTGTCCATCAGATCAGGGTAGGTGCTGTCAGCAGCTATGGTCACTGCCAGCAGGCGATGCACTATTATATCTGCATATCTGTGAAGCAATGCAAAAAACAAGTAAAGTTTATATGCAGGTAAACCAGAATATGGATTACAAAGAGGGTCAGTTTTTTTCTTTGTAAAAATAAAAGATGGTTATATTCCAAACCTCCTAATTGGTGAGGTGAAGTGTGTATAAATGGGTGAGGCGAGACCATAATGGTGGAAGTCGCTGTCCATGCCAGAACAAAAATAGACCGCTTGCATCATGCAGCGAGTGGCCAAGATGCGCAGAAGTGTGTTGAAGTATGTAAAGCCGTCCACTTTGGCCACATCGAGGGAATCGGCGAGCGTCTTGGCTGAATCTACGTGGATCTCCACATTCTGAGAAGAGATTTAAAAAAAAGGTTTATATAAAAGGCTTGAGCATACTTAGCTTTACATTATGCGCAAGTTTGGAATAGAAGAAAGCTTTCTGCTAAATGATTTATTATTGAACTTTGAAAACTAACACACCCGTGTGTTCAGAGTATCTGTAATCAAAGAAGCAAGTAAAGCCTTATGTTACTGATACAAGTGCTAAAAGAAATAGCTAAATACTCCGGCAAAGTAAATGAACAGTTCACACATGATGGTAATAATTGATAAAATGAAGAGTATGGCATGGTAGGTATTATTGCCTCAGAATAATTTCACACCATTCCTATCTAAACCTATTTGTATCCTAGATGCAGAAAAGTGTTTTTCTTTCCTTCAAACGATTTCTTCTTTTATTTAGCTTGAGAATTTTAGCTCTAAGGTTCCGTTTATTTTTTCCCACTCATCTTTTGGAATCACTCACTACACGTAAATACTGACACCAGCTCAAGTTTTGTGGTTCTGCTAAAAGTTAAGGTCTCCCGAGTTGCATTTAAACTGCAAACATTATTTGAAATCACAAATTTAAGGATTCAAATCAAATGAAGCACAACTGTGTGGACTAACTTTGGACTTCCCAGCCTTGATCAGGATGTCATAGTTGGATGGAGGCGGTGCTGGATGTTTCCTCAGCAGAGCACACTCTGGAAATTCATCATAAATCTTTTGTGCAACTGAAACATTGGCCTGCAACATAAACTCTTCGACCATGGAGTTTGTCTCCCTGAAAAACCAGAGAAATTTATATTTTTTAACACAAAACTAAAATCATGGGATGACTCACAAATACAATAAAAACATGCACGTTATGTTTATCAAATATACGATTCTGTGTCATTTCTGTTCTTTTAAACATTACCCACATAAGTTCTTTTGTTTGCAGGTCTATGGGGTCGTGGGTTTCACTGTCCATGTGGAACCGAACTTCTAAGGATGACAGTGTCAGTGCACTAAACAAGAGTCAAAACACTGCCATTAACAACCAGTTAATAAAACACACACACAAAAAGTTTTTTGCAAATGCATCGTTTTGTAGCATTACAATGTGCCATACAACCTTTCTTTCTAAAGTAAAATTCTTATTCTTTACCCCTTCTCAATCCTTCGCCTCTTGAGGATTTTGGCAAGTTTGTTGAGACCACGCAAGCTTTTAGTGATGTCGTCATTCTTACTCGTGTCATCTATCCTCATCTGGGCCTCAGCATATGTCAGAGATGCCTGAACAAAATTCAACATCAAAGGATAAAAATATAATTTATAAAAGAGATGCAGATAAATACTTTATCTTGACATGGTGATTTAATTTTATGCTAATAGTTAAGTGAGAATAAAACTATTTGAAACATCCATTATCTTTTACCCGCTTCTTACACACTGCAAAAATATGTATTTTTTTTTTAATTACTTGTTTTTTGTGATGGTACTTTACCTTGGAATTGATCACGCTTTTTGTGAACCGAGTCTTTAAAATTTCCGCGTTGTGGTTCATTTCCCAAATACATGAAAAAGCAAACCTAGTAACATAAAAACGAAAACACATCCAGAATAAGTAAAAAAAATATATATTTAATTGTCTTTCTATCAGATAGATTGGGGATAAAAACACAGCTGAATGTACAGATTATTAATTCAGTTTATGTGAGTAGAACATTAAGATGTGATTTTATAGATGAACTCTCACCTTTCCACATTAGAGCGTAGAGAACACAGATTGGAGCTGAGCAGCTCAGGAACCATGTCTATCCTCTGTTAGAAACAATATTAAACAATTTGAGCACATTTTCACATTTTATAGAGTAAAAAGATGAAAAGAATAGTAAAAAAAAAAAAAGTCAAGACATTATGTCTCTACAGGCAAAATGTTTGAAACAATTTCTTCTATGGTGAGAAGCTAAATGATGCTCAGCTTTTTAAAGGGCATAAAGCTATGAACGAAATATTTCTGTAATTTTTCAAAAAGTTTTACAACTTTAAAATAAAATAAAAAATAGATCCAAGCAGAAAACAGGGCATCCTGGTCAGTTATAATCAACACCAAAAACTTTGACAAGTATTTCAGCTTTTGTGCTGCTCTTCATATGTTCGCTCACAAACTTCTTAGTTGACACTAATGTAAATGTAATTTAAAAAAAAACAACTCACTGTGTTAACCTCACTGCCATTATGAGCTCATTTCCCATGAAACAGACAGATCGTTTTAATGAGAGCTTTTGGTTCAACTGACATCTGGGTTTTTGAAACATCCGAACTCACTACTTTGATATCTTCCTTTATCGAAAAGGAGTATTACTCCCAGAACTCGTTCCCATGAAGATAACACCATAACAACCCTTTGTTTAATGACATTCCTTTTCAGGAGATGGACAGTGACGACACCTTTGGTAAAACATTGTATGTTTTAAGTTTAATCCTAAATATGTCATACCTGAATATTTATTCATGAAAATGTGTTTTAAGTCATCTTTCTTTAAGATAATACATTTGTCTTATTTTCTCTTTTAAAAGGAAAACTTTTAAGGCAGAGAAAAGGGACTCTAGATTTATTTTATAGGCCTTTATGAAAAAAACACAGCCAAAAGTTAGGACCACCCCCCTGAGGTGGGCCTTCATCTCTGTTCTACACAGACAGTAAGTGGCACTTTTTCTAAAAAAAACTTTGGAGAAAACACACACGCTTTGAAGAGACACTCCAAAGAGAGACATGCTTCTGCACAGAGAACTGGAGAGAGAAGAAACCCAGCTTCTGCACTTGAACTCAGAAAGGAGTGAAGCATCCTTTCCGCAGACAAGAGAAAGATACAGAACCAAACCAGAACCAGCTGAATGGTAAATCCCAGCTGACTCCCATATGAACCCTCGTCCCTCTAACGATGACAGGTGAACTTGAGGAGACTTCAGCCTCTCAGTCACCGGAACATCTGAGGCTGGTACCATTTAAGCAACTGTCGGAACCATGCTTTGACATCCTGGTAGGAGAGACTTTTCAATGCCTTTCTGGTGAACCTACATCACAACTTATCAGACAAACTTAGCTCAACTTAGATACAATTTTAACTACTTCACAAACAGAAACCAGTCCCAAGTCTGCCCTTTAAGTTTCACTAATTTGAATAATCAATTAGACCTTTGATGCAAAGCTATTTGTTATTCAGTTAACTTTTGTTATGCATAATCTTCATCATATATATCACAGATTATTATTTTTATAATAAAATATATAAAAATCAACTGAATTTGTGATTATTGTGGCATATCTGTGTGTATTAATTGATTTGATGCCCTTTAAACACAAGAAAAGGACTCACGTTCAGATTACATTGATTTGGGGTAAAGAGAGACTGATTTTTTCTCTCTCCAAGAGATGTGGTGCCCAAACAACGAGGTTATTTGCATAATACATGCATATCTTATGAGCTTAACTCATAACTGATCGTTAACAATATATATATCCAGCCCCATATCGCTACAACATAAAGAAATCCTATAAGCATCTAAAACGTTTTCATTACGCTTAACTTTTTATTATCATTGCACTATGAATTAAAACGTTAAATGTTTGAGTGAAACTAATAGGAGTTTGATTTTCTTACTTTGCCGCACAAATACACTGTGGTACCGCGGTTGGCAGCCTCTCTGTCCAGCGCATTGCCAGGTCTGATGAAGTGACTCACATCAGCGATGTGAACACCCACCTAAAGATTACAAGTACAGTTGAACACAGATATAAAGAGCTTAGTACTGCCACTAAGGGTGTAAATGTGCAATATGTGCACCTCAAGGTTTCCATTTTCCAGTTCTCTACAGTGTAGCGCATCATCAATATCTGTACATCCTGGGGGATCCACACTGCACACCACCAAATGCCTCAGGTCCTCTCTCTGCGCCATATCCTGTAAAACACACAAAGACACATCTATTTATACAGATCCACAAAAGAAAAACAAAACTGGAATAGTGCTCTCCAGATAAGTTCACCTCTGGAGTAATGGTCCATGGCATCTTGGGAAGGAAACTGAGCACAACCTGAGAGAAGGCCTGATGTGGAACGTCATGCTCCAGAAGCAGTACCGCCTCCTCCGTTTCCTTCTCTCCTGCATTTCCCAGACTACGGACAAAGTGACCCTGACACACACAAACACAACGTTTACCCCTAATGGACCAATTTGCTGAATTTATTACAATATACTTGAAACATCTATTTTTAATTAAACAAAAAGATAAATTTGATGCTAAATTTTGGGAAACATCTCACATTTGGATATCTGGAGTCTTTGGGCCAGCCGTCAACAGCCACCATGATCCTTTGGCCTGCAAGTGTAGAGGCCTGTCGTGTTTCAATGCGAATGCGTGGGATACGGCGGTCTGCCGGGGTGAAAAGATGGCGAGTGGACTGGATTAAAGAGGAAAACAAAAGGGGCAGTCAGTGCCTGAGTTATGTAATAGCAGTAGGAGAAAGTCGCCACAATTTTGAGCTTTACAAGTTCAAAGAATATGCAGCAGTTTAAACTTACCTCTTTGATTTGGGAGACATTCAGCATGCCGCAGAATGGCCTCCAATTCCTTTTGATGATTCCCACAACTTTACCTGTGGGTTTCCTGGCTGCCTCAGCTGCTGATAACTTCAACTAAACAAATGCACAGAAACACGGTAATCATTAATACACAGAAATAACAACACTGTTATTGAGTTTCATAGTTTTATTCTCGCTAAAAACACCCTGCTGAAGTTTCCTTCCATATTTTAACTATTTCCATGAAATAAAAATAAAACTAACCACTTTCTCCTCTTCATCCTCGTCAACATTATCGTCCTTTGCTGTGCCGTCATCCTGCAGCACAAATGATGAAGGTGACACCCACTGATTCCGTGGCAACAGTTGCACGGCAACCACATCCTGGTGCACAGCTCTGTTGAGATTTTGAAGACCCTGGATGAGAATCTGTGAACAAGCCAGATACAACAGGGAGCTTTTAACAAATGTTAAATAACTTACACAACTTAAACTTCAGAACAACAAAATCCAGTCCCTACTGCATCTTCACAGTCAAATGTCCACACAAAGACACACACACACACCTCCGTGCTGTCCTCTCCCTCTCCCTGGACAAAAACTGTGGCCTCCAGGTAGTTGTCCCTGCTGGCTCTGAAGGAGCCCTGGATGAAGGAGCCACTTTTGATTCCTGCCTGGATCTTAGACAGAGGAAGGTGTTCTGGAAACAACACTTTACTGCTTGTAATTTCATTCTGTGGGAGAAAACAAAACAGTTAAAACAGACAGAAGAACATGATGTCCCCAAAATAAAAATAAAGTGTAATATGAAAAACTGAATTTTCACTTTACCTACAACTAGAAACAGCATTTATTTCTGTGCACAGCTAGCATAAACTTGTGCTCACCTTATCATCATTGGACAAAGCAAGACGGTCCACAAGCTCAGGGTTTGCGATAAGACTTTTGATGTATTCCTCAACTAGAATATTAGAAAATAAATAACTGTGACAAACTGTTCAGCTGATACCAACTGAAAGCAAGCTTAGTGACAAAGCCTGGCTGTACAATGAATGAATTACATCTGTAAGCCACTAAGCTGTCCTCCAGTGCTTTCTGCTTGTTCCCTTGATCGTTGGTGAGGAGGACCACTTTGAGACCATCTGGACCCGACTCGAGCGTTTTCAGATGATGGTTGTACCACTTGACTGCCACGCGGATTGCACGATCGTTGCGATCATTGGCACTCTCCCCTGGTTCACGCTCAATGAAAGTCTCTCTGGAGGAACAGATTAAAGGAATGAAAACTGAGTCAGATGGGATTAAATTGTGTCAGCATAAACAGTTGTCCAATCTTTTTCTGTGTAAGTCTTTAAACTGTAAGTTGTGTCAGTATGTTTCATATAACACAATAATGCAATTGCCACGTTGTGATGCAATTAAACAAACAAATAAATCAATCAAACACAGTGGTGTATTTATTACCTGTGGTGTTCGTTGGTAAAAGTGTAGCAGTGTTTCTCTTTTTCATGTATAATATCCTTCAGGCGTTTATAAACCGGTGCACTGCGGTGGCGTACCTCCTGCAGTACAGTCTGAAGAATAATTACATTACGAATCACTGGATCTTCCAACACGTCAATCTGTAGAAATAACATGAGGAAGAATGTTATTGGTAAACTGATGCTCCAGATAAACATGCAACAACATAATCTCGACTGCTAGATATACATAAGGGTAAAAATACCTGATGTAGAACCACATTTGTGTCAGGGACAATATAATGTGGATAAGAGCAGAGATTACTTTCAATACACGCGTCCGTCTGTAGTACTGTTGTCTCCTGTTTGCATTCAGCGCAAACCTCACTTCCACACCAAATATCATCTCTGAGGTAATGCTCACGCACTACTTTCATCACCCCACCTGACCGGGTCTTCTTAACGAAGGTTTTTGATTTTAACATGATGAAAATAAAAGCTCGTAAAGTATAAATTCAGAAGATTTTATACAACTACTTGAAGACGCCAGGCAGTTCTGCTATGGTTCTACTGCCCATGTGTAAACTAACCAAGTGGCACAACGACAACGTTTTCCTGAGGTTTAAAAAAATCTATGGCGTTCTACAGTAGGTAATATCAACATATATATTATTTATGTTCACCATTTTGAATTCATCAAAATAATATAAGAAGAAGTAAAATAAATTTTACATTTTATTAAAATAATTGTATAAGCTCACGGTTAATTTTGGTTGTTCATCTTTTTTTGTCGATGAAAACAAAGCCAAGGAAGGCTGGAGACGAACGGACAACTCAATTGTATACCGCCCCTTAAGGTTGGAGGGTATATTGCAACACGTTAAATTTTATCTGTAGGCAATGAGGCGCAGTACACGGAATTTATCCTAGAGGGCGCTGTAGCTAAGACCACAGTACACAACTGTCGAACGGTTGGCGGTTAGCAGGCAGCTGAGCTCAAAGCGGGACCCTTGAAAACAAAAACAGTTCAGTGTGTAGCCTACTGTTGTAAGTTTTCGGATGCTATTTCAGCTGTATATTTTATTTATTTGAGTACAAGTATGTAGGTACTCATTTTAAAATGGTCTAGTCAGGATGGCGCTGTAAACTAGCATTTAGATAGCACTTACGGCGATGTCGCTGAACTCTTAATTCACTTTATTCTAATCAAACATTTTACCCAGTTTGCAAGTTGGCCTCTGGAGGCGAACAGAACTAGACAAAATGCCTGCCAAGAAGCAGCAGCTGAAGCCGACAGCAGCCAACGTGTCCAGCTCCTTGGACTTGGAGTCCGAGGACATCAGTCTGGAGACAACCGTGCCGACCACGGAGGACGTGTCCTCGTCCGACGAGCAGCGTGATGCCTCCCAGAAGGTGACCCGTCAGCTGATCGAGAGGAAGGAGCTGCTGCACACCGTCCAGCTGCTAAAAATCGAGCTTTCTCAAAAGAATCTCATCATTGACAACATGAAGGCTGACCATATGTCAAAGGTATGTTAAAAAAAAGCCTTTGGCTCTTTAAAGCAAAAAAAAAAAAACATACTAGAGGAAAAGTCTGAAAGTTCTAGTGTCAGCCTTGTGTTTTTCTGCACGTGTCTATCTGTTCCGTTTCAGACTGAGGAACTGGAGGAGAAACTCAATGATGCCCTGCATCAGAAGCAAGTGTTGTCCTTAAGACTGGACAGCCAACTGAAACTGGCTCAGGAGGAAAACAGGTGAGGAAAAATGTCTATGAAAGACTGAAATTTTGAACTTAAGAGTGTTTAAATGGCTAAAAAAAATGTTTTTATATGTGATGATAGCCACCAAAGTTGTTATAACTATGCACTTACCTACAGGTTGTGCTACAATTAGATTTGAGGCTTTGCTCTTTGCTGTAGTTTTGAAACCATGAAAGCTTGGAATTAAGTAGGCTTTAAAAAAATGGTAACACTTTACAATAAGTTACACAAAATTTGATTAACTACTAGGGAATGCCTCAGGAACGAATCAGGGACAAACCAGGAGCTAATGGGTAGTTAACCAGTACTAACTGGGGAACACACAGCCAAGCCTTATTAGGGGACTACTGGTTAGTTACCTGGGAAACAAAGAGGAACTAATCAGGAACTAATGGGTAGTTACCATGGAAACCAAAGAGAAATGAATCAGGAGCTAATGGGTAGTTAACCAGCACTTACTGGGGAACATACAGCCAAGCCTTATTAGGGGACTACTGGTTAGTTACCTGGGAAACAAAGAGGAACTAATGGGTAGTTACCATGGAAACCAAAGAGAAATGAATCAGGAGCTAATGGGTAGTTAACCAGCACTTACTGGGGAAAACACAGCCAAGCCTTATTAGGGAACTATTGTTTTTTTTCCACAGAAACAGAGAAGTTATCCATTTGGGTTCTAAAGAAACCCTACACCAGTGAGGTCACACCCCAATAATTTCAGTCAGGTCATCTGGACAGTTTCTTTTCTTTTTTCTGAAACGTTTTACCTTCCATCCAGAAGGCTTCATCAGTCAAGGAAACACACAACACAAAACTGATTCTTTCCCCATCAGCTTACTCCAAAGTGGAACAAACCAGTTATGTTGGTGCTAAGATGGTCTCTTTGGCACGCCCCCTCCTCCAATGCCGGCCCTCGTCAACAGTCATGTCAAACTGGTTCAAAACCAACAAAGTCTATGCTCAATAATCCAGGTATACAATCAAACAAATTTCAGTCAGCTCATCTGGACAGTTTCTTTTTTTTTTTTGGTGCTGAAATGTTTCACCTTCCATCCAGAAGGCTTCATCAGTCAAGGAAACACACAACACTCTGGAGTAAGCTGTTGGGGGAAGAATCAGTTTTGTGTTGTGTGTTGTTATTTTGAACCATTTTGGCATGACTGTCAAGGAGGGAGAGGGCCGGCACTTGAGGAGGGGGCGTGCCAAAGGGACCATCTTAGCACCAACATAAGTGGTTTGTTCCACTTTGGAGTAAGCTGTTGGGGGAAGAATCAGTTTTGTGTTGTGTGTTTCATTGACTGTTGAAGCCTTCTGGATGGAAGGGGAAATGTTTCAGCACAAAAAAAAGAGAAACTGTCCAGATGAGCTGACTGAAAATTGTTGGATTGTATACCTGGATTATTGAGCATGGACTTTGTCAGTGAGGTCACAGCTCATAAAACATTGTGAAAAACTTGTTTTCTAGTGATTATTGATTTTATTGGATTCTTACCACCAATCAGTGGTAAGAACTGATTTCATAATCTTGTACTGCAGAACCCACATGGATAATTACTCCTCTGTTTCTGTGGTAACAAACCAGTAGTACCCTAATAAGGCTTGGCTGTGTGCTCCCCAGTCAGTACTGGTTAACTACCCATTAGCTTCTGATTCATTCCTGAGGCGTTCCCTAGTAGTTAATCTAATTTTGTGTACCTTAGGTGTTACCAAAAAAATTATCATCTTAAAATGTTTTCTTAAACATTGCATCATTTTGGCTTAGCTATTAAAATAAATCTTACAATCTCATCATCAGGAAACAGCAGGCTCTGCGTAAGCAGGAAATGGAGGCCATCCTTCTCAGGCAGCAGCAGCTGGAGGAGACTAACCAACAGCTCTGTGAGAAGGCCGGAGAGCTGCGGAGGTCTTTCAGGGATCTGGACATCTCCCAGGACAGGTACGAGGAGCTCCGCTGTATCCCAGACGATAAGGTGTCCGTACAGGAATACGTAGCTGTAAGTACAAGCGCACATGTAACTACACCTCCACGTTTAAGATGAAAGATGAGATGATCACACGCTGAAGTCATCTAATGTGACTTTCTTCTTTGTCTTGTGTGCCTAGATGCGTTTCTACGAAGCCGTGACTCCTCTGCGAACTCAGCTGACTCAACTCGGTGAGCAGAAACGCTATCTGACTGAGGAGCTGGACTTACACAGAACCAAGACCAAGGATTTGATGGAGGTACAAGACACAAGCCCCTACTACACCACAGTATTATTGTCTTTCGTATCCAGGTGTTTCTAAATCACATGCTGTGCTTTTGGTGTCTAAATGCTAGTTGGATGTATGTTTTTTTAATACAAACCATCACAAATCCTCACTTTAAATAAAGTCAGCTCCATCCATCATCTTTACTTGTTTCTTCCTTTTCGGGTCGTGGGGGTCACTGGTGCCCATATCCAGCAGGCACTGTGCGAGAGGCAGGGTACGCCCTGAACAGGTCTCCAGTCCATCACAGGGACACAGAGACAAACAACCATTCACTCTCTCACTCACACCTAGGGACAAGAATGAAGAGAAGACATTTGCACGCTTTAAAATTGTGTATAAAATTGTGATGCAGGTGGGCGGTTTAATCTGTTTGAAACACATGTACTGGATCTATTTAAACATTTTTTTTTAAAGAAGCTTGTGAATTACAAAACAAGCCATCCAGTCAGCTGAACTCTGTAAGCATAAATGGCAATATGTCATAATGAGATAACGATGCAATATAAAGGCAAAAGATAAAACCAGGCAACTTGTGCAACAATCTTAAGAATGTCTTTAGGAATTAATTTAAATGCTTAAGAATAGGGATTCTGAATATTTTGACGCAATATACACACTCAATTATGAAAATATAATGTTTTTTATTGCATAAAAATTTTAAATGACCTACTAAGAAAAGAAGGATGCTGGAAATTTTGAATTTCCACTTTCAGTGTCTGCAGAAACTGTTGAAAACTTACAAAACAGGAAGACGTTTTCAGTCATTTTCCTGATAACCGTACTAAATAACTGCTTCTGTTGAGACGTTTCAGATGTCTGTGCTGTATTTGAGGTTATCTGCTGAGTAACTAACGTGTACCCCATAGAGCTACGAGGAGGAGCGGCGCCTTCGTTCAGAGCTGGAACTGAGGAGCCAAAGGTTGACCTTAGAGCTGGCTGACACCAAACAGCTGATCCAAGAAGGGGACTATCGCCGAGACAACTACCCACACATCAAACGGTGTGTGTCTGTGAGGGTGTGTGTGTCACAGAAAAAGAGAGATTATTCCTCACTCAGAAACCTGGTTTGAGTTCAAAGAGTACTGTTCAGTAAAATACTCCAAATGAGGTAAAAATACACATCAAACCTTAAACTATTTAAAAAAAAAAAAAACTCTACAAAAGGCCCCAACAATATATTTAAACATAAAACGCTGCTTATTTCTGTTTAGTAATGATTAAAAGACACATTTAATGCAGTGAAATGTTAAATGTGTGAAAATTTCTAGTTTTTCATTTAAAATTTGTTGAAGCATCAGCATTGGAAAATGAAAATTAAGCCTACATGAAACTTACAAATAAAAATAGACACTTAAATCACAGCTTCTAATGCACACACATGCTCATGTAGTGCTTTTATTTAACAGACATTTGGAAAGTTTTTAACAACATCATTTTGTCTATCCAAATAATTAAAGATGCTTTGCTTGTTTTTTGTTGTTTTATTATGTCACACATGTCTTTTAATGTTTTAAATTATCAGTTAGGCCTGCCGCGATAACCAATAAATCAATTAATCGCATGATAAATTAAAATGAGGTTTATAATTTTCATTTTTTGGCTTTTTTGTTTCTTATTGATTACACTTTTTGTTTATAAAACTGGCAGTTTCGCCTGTCTTCTCTATATAAAACTAATGATTATTGTTTTTTGAAGGGCAGTTTAGTTTTCAGACTTCACGATCCGTACTGTTTTGGTTGAATGTAGTTTTCATTTCCATTTTGTTTTTTGATTGTATTTAGTTTTATTCAAGTGCATTTTTTGTTAACGGAAACTGAGAGTCCGTTTTATTTTTGTATTTGGTCGTTTTGTTTATTTTCCAGTTCCAGTGTAAAGTATTCTTTTGAAATGACAGTTTATTGATCTTTGAGAGAATGTACTCACATTATTATGTCATTATCATTACATTAGTTTAAAACGGTCTCCAAGCAATATTATCGTTTATCGCAATAATTTCTGAGTCAATTAATCGCCCAGCAAAATTTGTTATCGTGACAGTAGAAATGAAATATCACCTGGTATTTCACAGTGAGCGGGACAACTTAGAAGTGGAGCTGAAGGAGTTAAAGAGGAGATTTGACACTGTAGACTTGTCTCATGCTGCCCTGACCAGAGAACGAGACACGCTCAGCAATGAGGTGCATCACACAAACATTGACACATTCTATGTTTTGCCTCATTGATCACTGAAGCGTCCAGGTTATGATGCATATTTTTCTCGCCCTGCAGGTGGCGACGTTGAAGCAGTCAGCCACTCTCCTGCAGAAGGACAAGGAGTACCTCCACAGGCAGAACCTGGAGCTCAGTGTTCGCTGTGCACACGAAGAAGATCGCCTCGAGAGGCTGCAGGTCCAAACTGTTCATCAAATAGTAGCTTTGTCTGATCAATGAGACATTTAGAGGCAGGATAAACTGACCCTGCTTGTTCCTAATTCTTGTTTTTGTGATCCAGATACAATTAGAAGACACTAAGAAGGCCAGGGAGGAGGCCTATGAGAAATATGTAGCGTCCAGGTCAGAATCTGCCTTTCTAATTCATTTCAGTTCAGTTTATTTATTCAGCACCAAGTCACAACAGAAGTCATCTCAGGGCACTGAACAGAAACATTCGTATATAAAAAAGTAAAAAGTAAGTTAATAACATTATCTTTCCACACCAGCCATGAACAATTTTCTTTACCAAGCTCTACCCAAATAATGCCCAACTTCATCACAGCAATCTATCTCCTAATCTGATCCAGATAAATACAACCTTCATCAAAAGTGTAAATCATTGTATCAAAAGTACTTTCTGTGCTTTGGTTCGTATTCTGCCGTCTTTCTCCTGCAGAGACCATTATAAGTTGGAGTACGAGCACAAGCTGAGAGACGAGCTGGAGAACATCAGACTGAAAACCAGTCAGGAGATCGAGAACCTGCAGAGAACCTCCAGAGAGATGTACGAGAGGGAGAACAGGTATCAAACTAATAATAATTTATTTTGTTCAAACTGAACGTTTACATTTTTAAGACTGAACACCTGTTTTATCTTAATTTCTAATTTGTATGACGGTAAATTGTCATTGGTATTTACAGCAGAAAAAAACTTTGAATTACTAAACCGATTTTGCAATACTGTACACCGCATCATAGTTCATACAGATAGCTTGAAAGTAAATGAGAGTACTTTTTAACAGTATGTGTTTATTTATCCAGGAATTTGCGTGAGGCGAGAGACAGCGCAGTTCTGGAGAGAGACAGAGCCGCAGCTGCAGAGAGAGACGCTCAGTCCAGATACGACCAACTGCTGGAACAGTAAGTTTCATCGGTCGTGAAGAAGACACAGTCATGGAGACAGCGTTCAGCGTATTTGTTCACTTCAGTTCAGTTTATTTATATAGCGCCAATTCACAACTGAAGCCATCTCAAGTTAGTCATGGAGTTCCTCAAGGTTCAGTGCTTGGACCAATACTCTTTTTTACTTTATATGTGCTCCCACTATTTGTTGAAATATAAAGAACTTTCAATAAGTGGGAGGAATTACTTTTTTTCTTGTATTTCACCAAGCAGGTTTTCTTAGTTTTTAAAACAAATTCATTTAAATTTACTTTATGAACTAAATTATTTAATTTCAGAATCGCCTTTGTTTGTCAAACCCACATGAGTCAGATTATTTTCCAAAAAGAAACTTCAGTCACTTTATGATTTTGTCTTTGTCAGAAGGTGTTTTATTCAACACTTTAATATAAGTTCTTGGCCAAAAAATACTTTTCATATGTTTTTTTTTTCTTCCCCATTTGCTGTTTAGGGCACACCCTGAGCATTACACTACATATTTTTCTTATTGTCTTTCACAATGGTTAAGTTGTTTTGACCTCAACTTAAACATTGTGAAACTCAATAAAAAGTGTCAGCTCTAAACCAGCTAAGAATTTGTTCCCCACTTGAACCAGTTTTCCTGGCTGAGAACTAGTTTTCAGTGGAAACACAAAGAACTTGTTTAAGACAAGGTGCTTGGTGCAGGCCAAACTGCCTTGCTCTAAAAGGAGTTTGATTAAACTAACCTTTCACCTCAACTCCAAATGAACAAATGTAGCACCATCTCAAGAAAAAAAAAAACACTAAAAGTTAAAATAGATACATTTATGTGTTGGTTAAAATTGACCATCTTTACGTTAGATTGTGTGTTGAGGATGAGTAACACCAAATTTGATCTCAGTTTCTGTAAATCTGCCTGAGTTATAGCTAACTTTGCATTTGCTAATATCAGTCTTGCTGTGGCAGTCGTCTTGAATAGGTCTGACTCCAAAAGTGAATCCTTTGTAGATGTGCATCCAATAATTTCTGAAAAAATATTCAATTGGTTCATGAGGTGTTTTGCTGACGGTACAGACAAACAACAAAGATGCACACATATCAAAGCAACAACCTTATCCCCTCTTTGCTTTTGACGGTGAGTGGTTAAAAAAAGTGCCAGTAACTATTATATTATAAGCTGCTTTTATTCACTGTTGTAAATAAACCTGTCAGTATAATTTACTTCCATAAATACAAATAACTTGGTTTTCTTACAAGAATATGTTGTGTTTTTCTCCCTAAAATTTACAACATTTGAGAACTTAATTGACCCGAGAGGGATACAAATTCAAACAGCTGCTGCAAATAAAAGAAGCATGTCTTTTTATGCGATGTAAACTACACCTGAAGGCAACTGAGGCCAAATTCACATTGTGCCACGTCATCACTCCAAGTAATTCTCCCAAGCAGCGGTGGAGCAATGTGTCGTCGGGATAGCAAAAGCCAAGCGAGCGTGACTGATACCGAGTTTGGAATCCTGCGTGTTTCCCTAAAGAAACTGTTCCTGTTCTGATGCTGGTGTGTCTGAGCCTGCTGCAGTCTGTCACTGGTGAACGTTGTGGGCATGGCTGGCTTTCTGTACCTTTCTAAATATCCGATAAAAATCTCAAACCCAGCCGGTCGAAGCAGATGGCCGCTTGCCCTGAGCGTGGTTCTGCTGGAGGTTTTTTCCGCATGAGGGAGTTTTTCCTTTCCACTGTTGCCATTAAACTTGTTTAGGATGTGAGACTGCGACAAAGTGAAGACTCAAAGCAATCTGCTGGCTCCCTAGACAAATAACGTTATTAACTGACTTTTTATGTACCATATTTTTTTGGCCCATAAGTCACAGGTTTTTTTACATAATTTGCATGCCCTGCGACTTATACACCAAAGCGACTTATTTATGTTTTTTTCCCCATATTTATAAACCAATTTGTGGCTGAAATATGACCGTTTTCATTCATTCTGACATTGAAAATATTGAACACTACCATTTTCAGCCACTAGATGGCACTTGAGTAGTATGGCATGCCATTGTGTCATGTAACAGGTAAAAATGGCTATTAATTACACAATCAGCTTGCCATAGTCTGCCACCTTCGTCTAGCTCCGGGATCATGCCTGAAGCAACTGTCAAATCAGCGTCATTTCGCTGCGCCGCCCCAGTGAAATGACGCTGATTTGACCATTAAAGTGCATTTATTAAGGAAAACTTAGACTGAGGCACATCTTTGTTATAATTTCGAGCAAATGAATAATTGTTTTTGAGTGTTAATCTTGTTAAATTCTTGTTAAAGTCCTCCCGTGCATGCTCCCGCGGCCACCATTTGGCAGCCAATCGATTTTTGGCACAACACTGGCCCACATTTCAGGTTGTCAGCGGTGACGCATAATAGATGCGACATATTTATGTTTTTTTCCACTTTATTTGACATACTTGGACTGGTGCGACGTGTACGGCAGAAAATACGGTATGTGAATGTTTCTGTTTAGTACTCTGAGACGACTTCTGTTGTGACTTGGCGCTATATAAATAAACTGAATTGAATAAACACTTTGCTGTAACTCAGGAGAGCGCATTGAAGTCAGCGTTTTCCTGAAAGTGTTCAAAAGTTGCTCTGTCATGAGCGTCAGCTGACCACAAAACAAGAAACAAGCAGTTTCTCAGAACGCTTAATGATTTCAAATAGCTTTTGACTCACTTTTCAGCTAGTGTTGTAAAGGTATTTGAAGTTAAAGTTGCTTTAGATCTGCATCATTTTGTCCTGCAGGCAACATTTTTCATGTCAGGATTGCTTCAAAAGGTGCCTCTGGGTCACGGCCTTCTAGGAAGTTTCAGATCTTACAAGCGAACTGCTATGAACTCGCACATGCACAGATCTTTTTTTTTTTCTTACTGCTGAACAATAAATGCGAACAATAAAGTTTTGACCTGTGTGTATATGTTAGCAAAATGTTACATGAACCACTGGACAGATTTTAATGACACCTTGAGGAAATAAACATTAAATGTAAATCTGCAACTGATTAACTTTTGCAACTAACCCAATTCAAGATGGCTGTCACAGCTAACTGATATTAGGAAACTCAAAAATGGCAGTAAATCATTCAGTTTTACAGATATTGAGCAAACGTTTGTTGTGGAAGCAGCTGAAAGTCATTCCAAACACATTAAGAGCTCAACAGATTGCGCAACATCTTTGTTTGCATCTTTGACAGGTGAAACAAAGAATGCTACTTTCATTTATTCATTACTTTTTTGTCATTTATAGTTTCCATGTTTTTTTGCGGGGTGGACCAGAGACACAGATAGGCGCACACAGCAGCAGCAGTAGTAGTAGCGTTCCTGTCCTGGGTTACCGCTACATACCAGTCATTTGTCCAAATCCAAACCACCAGCTGTTGACGTTTACACACACACACACACACACATTTCACTCTCCCTTCTGCTCTCTCTACTGCGATCGCATTCCTTCTTTGCGTCGCATCGCAAGCCAGCAATGACAGATGCTAGCCTCAAGCCCTTAACCCCTAACCCTGCGCATGCCTCTATTTTGGGGGCAAAGAATGAGGAGGACAAGCTCAAAATGGCGTCAGATGATTAGAGATGTGTGTGAATTAAAGACCAGTTAAAATGTGAGTTTTTTTTTTCCTTGAGTTAAAAGCAGACCATGTGATCAAATCATCTAATAGTGTTTTCGCTTTCATCTCTTAAGCAAAGCGAAAGTTAGTGACAAGTTGGCACAAGCAAAAATGTTGCTGCAGATTTTGTCATTAATTTTGACATTTAGAATGACAGTGAAACACATCGGGTGACGCATCTCTAAATAAAAAAAAATTAAAGCCTTTTTCTCCCTTTTTTATTTAAAAAAAGTTCATTGCATATAGATGGCAGCTGCCGTTTATAAAAGAAGGAATAAAATGTCAGCCATGTGTACATGTCTGTCCCTGTGAGCACATAGCTCAAGCCTGCACACTGTGGGTGATGAAATCTTATCAGGTCAGCTGTAATCGAGTTATTAATATTATCCAACCCTCCACCGTGGCTTCATAGAATTTGGATGTGCACGCTTTACAGCAATCATTGAGCTTAAACATTATTTAAGATCTGCTGCAATTTGCAAATCAGTTTGTTCTCAAATCTGTTTTTTTTATCTATTAATTAATTGTATGAATTTTGATTCAGTGATTGTATACCTATTGTTTTTATTTTTACGTTGCCTGCAGTCTGACTACTTTTGCATGCTTTGTGCTATTTTAGCCATTCCCATCTCAAAACGTTTACCTCCTTCAGGAGATGGGTGCAATGACATTGGGGTTTTGTAACTTTTTCACTTTTCAAAATAAATATTTTCCCATAGAAATGGATTGAGAGCTCTTCAATTCCATCAAAAAACATTTTCTTTGAAATTAGCTTCTTCTAACCTTGCATCATGAAGGACCCCACTCACCCAGCACACTCACTTTTTGCCCCGCTCCCCTCAGGCAGGAGGTTGAGGAGCATTAAGTGTAGAACCACTAGACTGAGGAACAGCTTCTACCCTGAAGCTGTTGACTCATGAATCCCTAATCAGGATTATCACTGTGAAAAAAATCACTGTAATGCCACTTGATTGTTGACTTGAATTGAATTGAATATGTGCTGCTGACTATCCATGCTGCTGATCTTATGCTGCTGATTTATTTGACGCTGCTGTGTTCATTCGTACTCATCTGCTCACACAGACTCATGTTCGTGCTGCTGTTGTTTGGCGTATTTTTTTTGTACTATTAGTGTTAGCGTATTTCTAGTTTAGTGTATTTCTTATCTTTATACTTATGTTGGATATAACTGGGACCCTGTGTACACAATTTCATTCCACCACATGTACCACATGTGGTGTGAATGACAATAAAAAACCTTGACCTTATGCTACTTGCACGTTTTAGCTTGCCTTTTGCTATTTATAGCTTTTAGTTACTGCTTTTCCACTTTTAGCTTTTAATTAGCCTTGTGTTACTTGTTGCTAGCCTTTCGCTACATGTTTCATTTTTTCTTTTGATACTTTTAACTAATATTTTGCTACTTTTGCTTTTAGCTAGTGTTTTGCTTCTTTTAGCTTTAGCAACTCACTCGTAGCACTTCAGCAATATTGAAGTCATTCAGCTCTCTGCAGCTGTCATCTACAGAATTTTTTTTTTTGTCTTTCAAATTAAGAATCAACACAAAGTGATATTAGACATAACAGAATGTAAAACAGACCAGATTAGAAATGTTTCCTGTTTGACAAAGTGAAATATGTAGTTTATTTTATTAAACGATGACTTCTGAATAATCGTGACGCTCATAATACTTATAAGACGGTATATACAGGAAAGAGGCTTCATTTCGGCTGCCTACAGTATTTATTGTGGCTGCATCTTGTACTGAAAGAAGGTGAACGATGTATTCTTTCTTTTTTAATTTAATAATTGGCTGAGTAGAAAAACCTTTTTGTCGATGCCAAGGAGAATCACTAAAGATCAAATGAGGTTAACCACTGCTTCAAGCAATGTTGAGAAATGCTGAAATAATTTAACACTTGGCTTTCCTGCTTGGTGATCCAATTTTATTTTGTAGTTGCCAAACTGCTAGATGCCACTTCAGGTCTCGGAATCTGTATATTGTTCAAAACACAGGAGATAATAAACTTTTAACCAATTGTCAATCATATTTATCACCTTTTCTGTATTTGAATTCATTTTATGTGAAGAACTTTGCGGGCTTGCTTATCTGCTCGTCCTCTAGGTTTCGACAGCTCCAGCTGGGCACCGACAGCCGGGTCGCAGAACTGTCCAACCAGGCCAAGCTGCACGCCTTCGAAGCTGAGCGAGCTCAAATGCTCAAGGAAGAGACAGCTAAGGCCCTGGGCCAGTGTCAGCTGGAGTGTGAGAAACAGCAGAGGAAACTGGAGGTACCCAGAAAAAACTGCTTTAGAACTGTCACTCTGTTTGAACTGGCAACAACACCTAATATTGTGGTCAGAATGCAGCGTGCTTTCGTTTAAGCTTATTCTGAGCATTTTAAATCTGTGTAATTTAAAAAAAAAAAAACAACAAATGAGTTTCATCAGAATGTTTTAGATTTTGTTGATTTACTACACCAAGTCCCTGCAGATCACTAACATGCACATCATTTTCAACTCAAAACAAGCTCACTACAATATTTAGCTGAATCTTTTTTTTATTTATTTAATTTCTCAGCATCTGATCCCAGTCAACAAATAAAAACTGCTTAAATGCCTTTGAGCAGTAGCTTCTGCTTGCTGTCTGACATATTTTCACCTTCCCCTGAGAGTAACCAACAGCTCACTTGAAGAAGACATAAACATTCTCATTGTCTATATTTAAACCCAGCATTACAATACTTTCTTCTATGCTTTACCTTGATGTGCAAATAAACACACAGCAGGACATCAGCAGGCTTAATGAGATTTTTGTACAATCATAAATCCATTTAGTGACTTGAGTTGAGTTATATCGCTGTTCAGATGTGAACATGTTTCAGATTCACCTGAGTGACACTTTTATTGCACTCTTTTTTTTAACCATCTACAAGCACAGACTTTTGAGATGACTTGCTAATTTATGGCTTCAGTTTGTTATTTGATGTTTTTTTTCTATGTCAGACGAAAACAAAATTAATATTTCTGCTTGTCATGTGAAAGTTGTTTCGGTCTGACTTTTGCTGCCATCGGGAAAATAAACAGGAAAATCACGTCACTTCAAACCATTTCAATTCAATTCAAAAATACTTTATTAATCCCAAAGGGAAATTATTTGTTGTTGTAACTCATCATCCTCATTAAGAGATGTTATAGATACTGATGGCTGTAGGCAGAAAGGATCTCTTGTAAAGGTCCATCCCACAGTGGATCCTAAGAAACTGGCTGCAGATGCCATCCAATCCGTCCACCCAGACTTGGCTGGCCTCTCAGGTCCCCCGGGCTGTAGGACCGCCTGAATGCCAGGCAGAACTCCTCCCAGAGAGATGGCCTCTCCTCCAGCAGTCTGCCGAGGGACGGTCCTGTCCTTCCGCTGTCATGAGCCATGTTTCCTGCTAGTTCCAGGATCTCAGTGGTCAGGCACTCGAGCACAGCTGACAGGTAGATGAGAATGCGTCCACAGAACATCCTTTTCAACTCATTTGAGATTTGGTGCTGTAGTTGAGATATTATTTGAGCTTTTGAGATGTTAATCAGCTGCTGTTGGTTGTAGAAAACTGCCTTGTTGCCATGGGTACGCATCATAACAAATGTCCAAAACTAAAAAAGTTTCAGTAAAAATCCTTCCAGCTGCACAGCATCTGATACCAGAGGAAACAGTCATCCAAAAAAATGTGACTTACATCCAGAAAAAGAGGAATTAAAGTTTCCAAAAGCAAAATCTCAGAATGAAAGTAACAGAGCTGCTCCAACATGCAGCCACCTTGAGTGGCGCAATTTAGACCAGACTGTGTGTTCACTGAAATAAACAGAATACAAAGTCAGGTTTTATGTGAATTACTGTATTTTTCGCTGTATAAGTCGCACTTTTTTGCATAAATTTACATGCCCTGTGACTTATACACCGAAGCAACGTATTTATGTTTTTCCCCATATTTATAAACCAATTTTTGGCTGAGAGCTGATGATTTCATCCATTCTGACATGGAAAATATTGCACATTACCATTTTCAGCTGCTAGATGGTGCTCGACCTACTGTATATGGCAAGCCAAGTGTCTCATTAAAAAGTGGCTATTAATGAGACACTTGGCTTGCCATACCAAGTCACTTTTGTCTTGCTCCGGAACTCCTGGAGCAAACGTCAAATCAGCTACATTTTGCCGCACCGCCCAGTTGAAATGCAGCTGATTTGACCGTTAAAGCGCATTTATTAAGGAAAAGTTCAACTGAGACACACCTTTGTTATAATTTCGAGCAAACAAATAATTGTTTTTAGGTGGCTATCTAGTTAAATTCTTGTTAAAGTCCTCCCGTGCATGCTCCCACGGCTGTCATTTGGCAACCAATCGATTTTTGGCACAACACCGGCCCACGTTTCCGGGTTGTCAGCGGTGACGTGTAACAAATGCTGGTGGTGACACAAAATAGATGCGACTTATACGGCGAATAAACTTTTTTTTTTCACTTTATTAGACATGTTTGGACTGATGTGACTTACTGTATACAGCGGAAAGTACAGTATATATCCTTCAAATTTTCAATGGCTCTTTACTAAGTGTTTTTTTTTCCCCCAGAAGAGAACAAGAAAACATCCTGATTGAAACTGCTGCTTGTTTGGAGTCATGCCAAATGAGGAGGCGGTCCCTTAATGTGAACCAGGATGGATTTCTGTTCAGGCTCTTGTAAATGTGGCTTAAGCAGTCAGACTGAAATCTGTACCGAGTTCTGAGCATCTGGATTGGCCCCTGGCTCTTAACATCTCTTCATTATCATAATAACATTTCAAAGAAACTTCTGTAAATGTGCTTACTCACTGTAAGCATCTCATTGTTTAATAAAACAAAACTAATTTAGTATTTTTACTGTGCCATGCTTTAGTATACATTAAGAAACTGGAGCATTTTTCTCACTTTTATTTTCTCTTTTTGCATTTTTTTCCCCACTTAATTGGTTAAAATAACATTGCCGCATGCTTAAAAAAAGGTAACAATATTCAAATATTTTTTATGACTTTTAAATTCATCCGGTTGGTTAGCTGTTCGTTTCCTCTTCTTTCGTCACACAGCTTCTCACACAGGAGTTTTACCGACTACAGACGTCATCTGAGAGGCGCGTGGCGGAGCTTCAAGCTCAGAACGCCGAGTGGGCATCTCGTCTGGAGACGTACGAGAAGCTCGAGCAAGAGTTGGACCTGGTCACCATGCAGGCTGCTGAAAGTAATGGTTAAATACATCTCACTGTGAAGTCAGAAAGACAAAAAACATTTCACATTTACTAAACTGATGCTTGGGAGCAGAGAAAGTGAAACCTCATATTCAGTTAAAATGGAAACCGTTTAACTTAATTTAAATTGATATTTATGCACTGTTTGTTTGTCTATCTGTGGCCAGTTGAGGATGAGGAGGAGGCAGAGAGAGTTCTTTTTTCATACGGCTATGGAGCAAATGTCCCCACAACAGCCAAAAGAAGACTGAAACAGAGGTAGAGTATGATATGTAAAGCATTTCATGAACCACGATGATTCCTGTTAGAAAGCTTCCTTTTAAATTCAAATTCAAAATTACTTTATTAATCCCAGAGGGAAATTATATAAGAATAATAAGAACATAAGACCTTATAATATAGTTTTGAAACCTGCAACTGTGTTCATTTTTACTTCCTTTATTATGATTTGATTACTTATAAGGATTCAAGGATTTTTTATTGTCATACCAGCTCACATTTTCATGTTTATGAATGTTATGTTCTGTTTATGATCAAGAAGCCTAACTATAGCTAACTATAATACAGGTATATAACTATAGCTATATAGACTTATAACTATTAGTATAACTACTAAGACTATTAATATCACTTTTATAAAATAAACCAAAAAAAACCTTCACAAGACAATGTAGCTGTGTGCATTGCAGTCACTCATTTTCTTTTCTGATCTTTTCAGAAGCATTCAGTCATTTTTCAGTCCAGTTATATTTTGTGTTTTGAAGTGACAGCAGTTATTTGATTTTGGTTTGTTTCCCTAACAATGAAAGTCTGACTAATTAATCTGGATTATCCCTGTGAAAAAAATCACTGTAATGCCACTTCAATTGTTGATATGTGCTGCTGACTATCCATGCTGCTGATCTCATGCTGCTGGTTTATTTCATGCTGCTGATTTATTTCATGCTGCTGTATTCATTCGTACTCATCTGCTCACACAGACTCATGTTCGTGCTGCTGTTGTTCGGCGTATTGCTTTTGTACTACTTAGCGTATTCTTAGCTTAGTGTATTTCTTAGTTCATATCTTAGATCTTATTACCGTTTTTCTTTACACTTTATAATTTTATTCGATGTAAATGGGACTCTGTACACAGTTTTGTTCCATCACATGTACCACATGTGCTGTGAATGACAATAAAGAACCTTGACTTCACATATATCCATGTAAAATAATTATAGCTGTAAACGCAAACTTATTCCACTGGTTCAGTGCCGTAAACTTTGGAAGAAATAACACAGGAGTAGACACAAGTGTGATCTTGTTAATGTTGTCATGTTTTGGAATTTCAATAACTGTGTTTGTTTGGCCGTTGTGCAGCGTTCACCTGGCCCGCAGGGTGCTGCAGCTCGAGAGGCAGAACACTTCACTAAGGAGAGAGCTGGAGAGCCACAAGTCACAGGCAGGACAAATATCTCAGGAGGTACACACACAGTCTGCCTCGGGATCATCATTATTTGGGTTCAATTTTCATGTATTATTAATTTTCATTAAAACAAGACGAGTCCACACTTGCCAAACACACTTGTTTTTCCCACCACCACAACTCTCCCACAGTAATTCAGATTATAGCTGCTCTGCAGCTTCAGTCAAAGTCACAGTAATTTATTACAATCAACCTTAACCCCCAACTCTTCAGAATCAGTATAGTCAAACTTGATGGGTTTTACTTTGTTTGCACACCAGTTGCCTTCTTAAAATATCACAACACTGCTTTGATGGAGTTCTGCAGACAAGAGATTGAAGACTTACTGGAAATAAAAACAAAACAAAATGTACCTGCCAGGAAGTAACATTTTATTGTTATTTTTGTACACTAGTCATGTCATTTTCACAATGCTTACCTTATGATAAGAACGTGAAATTTTGTCGTATTTATAATAATTTTACCTTAGAAAAGTGGAAAAATGATTCACCATAGACATTTTTCTTACATTAAAGCAGCATCTCTTTATTGCCTGCCAGTGAAGGAGAAGAAAGAGCAAAAATGTTTGTGCTCATGTCTGTGTCCATGTATTTGTTAGTCTGTACAGTTGGCAAAATATCTCATGAACAATTAAAGTTTTTTAATGAAACTTTCAGAAAGTACTGTAAACACTGTTGATATCTGCAACTGATTCACCTTTAGTCAACCCATTTCAAGATGACACCCATAGCAAAGTAATCATCATAAACATGGCTATAACTCATTCAGTCTTACTGATTTTGAGCTCAAATTTGGCGTAGCTCTAGTTGAGACTGATCCCCAACGTATACCCAAACGCTAACTAGTCACTGGATTCAACTTTATTGTCATTTACATCACATGTGGAACAAAATTATGTACACAGGGTCCCAGTTACACCCAAAAATAGCAAAATATAAAGTGTAAACAAACAGTAAATAAGGATAAGGTTGAATCATGTCATCTGGACTTCGTTTTTTTGTTAAAAAGAAACGTTTCGCCCCTCATCCAAGAGGCTTCGTC